GTTCCAGTGGCTGGCGGGCCTGGCGCCGCCCTCGCTCTTCGCGCGCGCCATGCAGGTGCTGGTCACCGCCATCTCCCCGGGCCGCTTCCCCGAGGCCCTGGACGAGCTGCCGCTGCCGCCCTTCCTGCAGCCCTTGGACCTCACTGGCAAGGGCTAGGCCCGGGGGTGCGGGGCGCGGGACTGGGGGACGAGGCTATTTTTCTGAGCGTTGTACCTGGCACTTTACATACACCGACCTCCGTGCAGAAGGACCTGTCTGGTCTGTTGCGCACGCTGTGGCTCCGGGTTGTCGGGGTCCCGCGGGGCCCAGCTCCCCGGGGCAGGGGGGCGGGGGAGGCAGGGAGTCAGGATCCAGTGTCCCGCCGTGATCCGGAGCTCGTGGGCAGTATCCCGGAGAGGTGACAGCTGAGCCGGGCAGGATCTGGACGCGCGGGGGGCGGGGGGTGGCGGCCGACGTGTTGTTCAAGCCCAGGGACAGAATGTGCAGAGGACAGGCCCGGCTCCGATGGTCTCCTGTGCTGTCAGCATCTGGGGCCTCGTAAACTTCTTGGGCTTTGGACTTGATCCTGCAGCCTGGCGGGCTGGCAGTGGCCCGGCTGGGAGATGTGTGACCAGGATATGCCTCCCGTTCGCCAGCCCAATACTGGCTGCCACCACCTCTGTAAACCTGGGGCTTCCTCCACAGGCCTGGATTGTCCCTGACAGCTGTTTTTGCTACCGATAGTAGCCAGCACAGGTTCTGGGCTCTTGCTCTTGTTGAGCTCTGCCCTAGGCCTGGCTCTGGCAGTCAGCATGCCCCCCTCACCCGGGGCCAGCTGTGTGACCGCCACAGGGCTGCCCACTGTGGGTGGGAGCTGGTGCCATGTGCACCAAGGAGCAGGTTCCTCGCCCAGCCGGGAGAACTGCTTCCTGTTGGGAGGTTCTGAAGATGGAGACTTGTTAATGAACACAGCACCCTTCTTCAGGACAGGAGCCCTGGCTGAGAAGCTGCGTCCACCCCCAGAGGAGCCTCCGGGCAGGGAGGAAGGCCAGGCAGGGAATTCTGCAGGGCTGTGAAATTCAACCTTGTAGGTCTGGGTCGGAGGGCCTTGATGTCCTGCCAGGAGCAAAGGTTCAGCTGTCTGCATGATGGGGTGTCCAGCCTGGTGGGGGTAGCTGCTGCCCATTCTGTGCCCAGTGTCCTAGAATGCGGTGTGCATGGGGACAGGAAGAGGCTCTGGGTGCCACTGCAGGGTCCATGAGGGGAGGTGGGGACGGCCTTCACCTGCGGCCCACACACCTTCCTGGGCCTCAGTTTTCCTGTCTTCAGGGGGTCTGGACCATCATGAGGCTCTCTTCTGGTCCTGAGCATGATGTGTGGGACGGGAGGGTCACAGCTCCCGGACGGCTCTGGGATCCAGACAGGAGAGGTTCCGCCTGCCTTCCGCTCCATGTCCAGGGCCAGTTAGCCTTTCTAAGCCTCAGCACTTGGGGCAGTGTTTCCAGCCCTAAGTTGGGACATCAGAGGTTCTTCATGGTCCCCTGGGAGGATCCAGGTCCTCAGAGGACCCCATGTGTGTACTCTGCCAGACATGACATGTCTGGGGAGGCACTGGTGGCCTGTGGAACTCAGGCTGCACACCTACTGGGAGTCTTCCATCCCTCCCCGGCCCCCCAGCCCTGCCCTGGGCTCAGCCTCCCACCCCAGCTCCAGGGGCTGCTCTGCTACTTCTCTTACTTCTTGAGTGACATCCTTCTTAGAGCTCCCCAGCCTGGGAGAACTGCTGGGTTCTTTAGGGGCATCGCAGCCCCACTGGGACCTGAGACAGGCATGGGGAAGGCCAGGCCCAAGGGGTTGGGTTAGTTCCAGGTGGTAAGGGCAGAAGAAGGGCCACCTAGAGTACTGGCCTTGGGTGGTACCAACTGGGGTGGACGGTGGGGCAGGGAGGACAGAGCCTAGTCAGCATCCCAGACTTGAGCGTGACCCCTGGCCCGTTGCTGGTGTGGTCTCCCGGCACGCCTGGCCCCCGAGGGCCTGAAGTGTGGCAGGCAGATAAGTGGGGCCTGCTCTATCGCGTGGCCACTGCGGGGCAGAGGAGGGCAGACCGCCCTGCCGCGCGTTCTGCTTATCTGACTCCTGGGCCCTCCGGCCTCGGGAGGCCTGAGAACCACAGTGCTGCCCCAGTGCCATGCCAACGGCTCTGGCCGCCCTGACAGTGCAGGACTTGGGCAGAACCAGACAGGATGGAGGGACCACAGCTGGCCAGGCCCAGCACTGTGGCCCTTGGCAAAATCTGCCCTGGATTCTCAAAACCACACTCTGCCCAGGACAAGCTGCCATCTCTAGGGAAGAGTAGGGGGGTTCATTTGTTCAGCCCACGAGTTTCACTGAGGACCCTGTGTTCCTCTGGGTCCTGCGCTCCACAGCCAGGAACTCATAGAGCAGAATCCCTACCCCAGTGCCTAGGAGGGAGGACTTGGAGGCTGGGCCGTGCTGGGCTCATCAGAAGCACTGAGAATGCGGCTGGGGTTGTATGGGCCTAGCCTGGGCCTCCAGGGATGCCGGCCCAGTAGGAGCAGTCCGGGCAGAGCCAGGAGAGTAGGCCAAGACCCTCTCTGGCCGCAGCCATGGGACCTGGCTGCCGCGGGTCTTGCCTCTGGCTTGTGTTTGCTGTGCACGACTGCCACCTCAACCCTTGAGCTCTCCGTTCTGGCTAACGCAACACGGAGCGGAGCAGGCTCCAAGTCACAGCAGACCCCGTATGGACGAGGCTGGCGCGAGTTGGCAGGCTAGGAGAATGGTTTTCGCTTGGCGCTGGGTGTGCAAGCTCATAAGCCTGTGTCAGCACAGCCCCTGGGAGGCAGGGCAGGAGGGTTGAGAGTTTGATGCCAGCCTGGACTACAAAGCAAGGCTGTCTCAGAAAACAAGACGACGAGCAACCCTCGGTGCCTGCCTCGGCCCATCTGACCCCTCCACACTGAGGCGGGATTGTATGCAGGGAAACGCTAGGGTGTTGATTTCATAGCTTGGTGAGTTATGAGCAGCGGATGCTCGTGTACAACCCCTACCACAACGAAGAACAGGTGAAGACATCCCAGGACTTGCTTAGAATGGATTCCCACTGAGCCTGCCCTGGGGATCAGGGCCCGCACCCAGCCCAGGCTGGAGAGCAGCTGTTGCCCGCACCCATAAACCACTGACAGCGCCAAAACATGCCCCCCCCTTTTTTTCTTTGCCAGTCCTGGGGCTTAACCTCAGGGCCTGGGCGCTGTCCCTGAGCTCTTCAGCTCAAGGCTAGCACTCTACCACTTGAGCCACAGCACCATTTCTGGCTTTTTCTGTGTATGCGGTACTGAGGAATGGAACCCAGGGCTTCATGCATGCTAGGTGAGCACTCTGCCACTGAGCCACCTTCCCAGCCACTTTCATTCTTTTTTCCTCCTTTCTCATTTCTTCTTGTTGGTCTTGGGGCTTGAACTTAGTGTCTGGGCACTGTCCATGAACTCTTTTGCTCAAGGCTGGCTCTCTCTACTTTGAGCCACTTCTGATTTGTTGGTGATTAATTGGAGATAAAGAGTCTCAGAGACTTCTCTGCCCCAGCTGGCTTTGAGGCACGATTTTCAGATCTCAGTCTCTTCAGTAGTTAGGATTACAGGAGTGAGCCACCAGTGCCCAGCTTGCTTGCTTGCTTGCTTGCTTCCTGTGTTGTGGATATAGGGCCCTATACATGCTGGGCAGGTGCTCTACTCTTGTGCCACACCCTCAGCCCTTTTAATCTTCACTGGTCCCTTGATCTTGCTGCCTTTACCTTCTGAGCAGGAAGGGTTATGTATGTGCACTACCATGCCTGACTCTGCATGTTTTGCTGGTATATGTATTTTTACAGGTATTAGATCACTTACACGATTTGGTCTCTGGTTGGAACCTTAGGCTCATGTGCCATGCAAACATACCACCTTCTGCCCCACAATTTAGTATTTTGAAACTTACTCTAATGTACTTCTGTAAAAATAATTTTTTTGGGGGGGGGCCCGGTCGTGGGGCCTGAACTCTGGGCCTGGGCGCTGTCCCTCAGCTCTTCAGCTCAAGGCTAGCACTCTACCATTTGAGCCATAGCACCACTGCCAGCTTTTTCTGCTTATGTGGTGCTGAGGAATGGAACCCAGGGCCTCATGCATGCAAGGCAAGTGCTCTACCACTGAGCCACCTTCCCAGCCCCTGTAAAAATAATTTTGTAAATGTGATTTTTAAGAAGCTCTCTTGGGGGCTGGGAATGTGGCTTAGTGGCTGAGGGCTTGCCTAGCATACATAAGGCCCTGGGTTCGATTCCTCAGTACCACATAAAAAAATAATAATAATAAAGAAGCTCTCTTGGTGTTTATTTTGTAATATTTGATTCAACTAGTGTTGATATGTGAAGGTTTAATGTGACCTTTCAAAATGTAAATTTTTTATTTTTAGAATAAATAATACATTTTAATGGCTCAAAATTAGGAGATTAAAAAATATATGCTTAGAACCACCACCTTCTCGTCCCAAGTGAGGGCTTCCTCCTCCCCCCTCCCCTCCCTCTAGTACTGGGGTGGAGCCAGGGCCTCAGGCTGGGCGTGTGTGCTCACCACTTGAGCCCATCCCCAGCCCATCCCCAGTCAGGGCTAGCTGACTGCCCGGGGTGTCCGGGAACTGCCTCTGTCTGCCAAGCAGCTGCAGTACAGGTGTGTGCCACCACACCCAGCCCCACTGCTGCCTCTGCTCCCTGTGAAGGGTGGAACACAAGGCGTGCACACCCAGGCCTGCTTCCCTCTCGGATCTACAAAACGATTGTGACTACTGCTGACACTAAGGATTACAGATTACAGGGCACGAGTAGCAGCCGCTGCCTCATCAGCTGTGTGCTCATGTCCACACACCCTTCCCAGTGCAGGCTGTTTTAGTGCTTTGAAATATATATATATATATATATACACACACACACACATATATATATATATATACACATATAATTTTTTTTTGCCACCATTTACATCTGTCTGAGGACAGATTTCTGGAAGTGGATTTGCGTATGACACAGCCAGTGGCCCCCTCACTGGCCCCTCCACTGGGCATGCAAGCCTGCGAATGCTTTCATGAGGGCCCTTTAATCTCCACCAGCCGTATCACAACTCTCCTCCTCCTGGTCTGGACAAGTTCTTACAGTGAACATCCAGCATCCACATCTTGCTTCTTGCAATTTTGTGCAATTACCTCCTTTCTGATCTGGGTCGGGGTTTTTGGTGGGTTGGGGTTGTGGTGCTGGGGATGAAGCCCAGAGCCTTGTGCATGCTAGGCTAGCATTCTCTCACCGAGCTGCAGCTGCAACCCTAGGCAGTTGGGAAGAAATTGACTCTCTGTGTGGATTTTCTTCTGTGGCCTTTTCCATCACTTGAGTTTAGAAAACCCTTCTTTGCCACCTATAAGTCAGAGATTGTTTTTCCCATTTGTTATTTTTGCCATAGAGTAGTGGTACCAGGCGCCGGTGGCTCACACCTATAATCCTAGCCACTCAGGAGGCTGAGATCTGAGGATAGTAGTTTAAAGCCAGCCTAGGCAGTAAAGTCTGTGAGATTCATCTCCCATTAACCACCAGAAAACTGGAAGTGATACTGTGGCTCAAAGTAGTAGAGCACTTGCCTGGAGCAGAAAAGCTCAGTGACAGTGCCCAGGCCCTGAGTTCAAGCCCCGTGACTGACCAAAAAAACAAAAAGTAAACAGTCATGACATACATTGCAAAGCCACCTCCCACCCACGTCTGGAATGCTGGGTCCTGCAATCTCTAGGGCCCTTCCAGAAAGGTCTGGGTCATCCATGACATGCCACCCCATTGGGATCCTGTTATTGCCCTGGGCAATGATCTGTGTGTGTGGGGGGGCATCAGCAGTCTGCAGTCCGTGTTTCCGGTGCGACTCACACCCTGGTCGTCTGGGGCCAGGTTGCAGGGAGGACGTGAGGTTGCGGATCCAGCAGCAACTGGGGGCATTTGTGGGCACTGGCATGGTTTGAAGAGTTCCTTACTGTGGCCACAAGAAAAACATCCCAGTGCAAAGGGCAGGTGTGTGTTTCGTTAGTCTGACATGTTGGCTTTATGTCTAGCCTCCTGTCCTGGAGTGGAAGGGCATCTGCCTCTGCTCCTGCTTTCTGTCTTGCTGCTTCTTGGCCCAGGTCTGACATTTGTTCAGTTGTTTTCCATAACATGGAAGTCGATTGTGTCTGTTAGTTTCCAGCAGGACACTTCTGGCACGTGAATTTGTCTGCAAATACAGAGCTAGGACGTCAGCCACAAAGGCAGACAGCCCTGCTCTGCTGTGTCAGGGTCTTTCCCAGGACCACCAGAGGGTGCATCCTGTGCGTGCGGCCAGCTCTCAGGACGTCCTCTGGGCCACGCCAGCCAGGAGTGGACAGCAGCACCTACCGGCTGACTGAGCCGTGGGGTCCCCCAGCACAGCTCTGGTGCTCTGTGAGGCACCGTCTAGCTCAAACATTGGACTCACCAGGTTTGCAAAAGCCTAGTTTATTGCACAGTCTCAAAGCACAACTAGAAATTTAAACCAGGAGGAAAACCCTACAAAGCACTGGAGCTAGGTCTAGTTTCAGAGTATGCACTAGGCTTGGGTTTGATTGCACTGTTGTCCCATAGGCTTAAGAGCGCTGCTGTCTGAGGAGCTTGACAAGGCACAGCATTTGCAGAAAAGGTGGGCCAGCGGCCGCCTCTGGACCCTTACGAAAGGATTGTAGAAAAGTGTGAAGATTGGGGTTTCAGCAGCTCATCCCCACTGAGACCTGGAAACTTCCCTCTTCTTGGCTGGCTGGTGTCCTTCACCTGGGGCTAGGGGCCCCCGACACCCAGGTATCGTGCAAAGGAAGCAGCCAGCCCGGGTGGTGTCCTGGAGCAGCCTTTCCAAGGGGGCAAGGGCTGCAGGCAGGGCAGGAGGCTCAGATGCTCCAGAGCACAGTGCTGACCACTGTGTGGTGGGTCACAGCTAGTGCTGAGGCTGATGCCATTTTTACCTGCTGGGGTGTCCACCCCACACCCACCCTGGGAGGAGAGGACGTGCTGGGGGCTGGCCACCCCTTGGAAGCTCCAGCCAAGTCAGGATGTGTTTAGGACACACACTGGAAGGGACACAAGGCCTACCTTCCACCGTTTTCAGAAGATACATCTTCTAACTTTGTAAGATTTGATTTCAAATGAGGTATCTCATGTAGGTTGTAACACAACAAACAAAAAGGCAATAATTAGAACCTCTCTGAGGATGGAGCGGCTGTGGGCTGCTGCCAGCACACTGCTGAACATCACTCACAGGCATTTCAGTCAGCCACCGCCGCCGCTCGCAGACCGGGGCCCCCGGAGGCCATACACACCTCCAGGTCCTGTCGGTGGCCACTGGCCTCTAAGCGCGCTATGAGTGCACAGGAGGGCGTCCTCTCCAACATGGACGTAAGGTTTCCCATCTGGAGTACCTGGTACTGGGCACGTGGCTCTGGGAGCATGTGGGGACCGTCACCAGCACATCTGGTGTCTGCTTGGCCTGGGGTAACTGATGGGGAGCATCCGTCGGGCCTGGCGTGGGTGCAGGGCGTGCCGTGGGGCGGCAGCGCCAGGCCCCCTGGAGGTGGCCGGGCCCAGGCGCCAGGTGCTGCAGCTTTGGCAGCAGCTCGGGCGTGTGGCTGTGGCTTGAGTCTGGTGTGAGACGGACACAAATGCGGATGAAAGCTGTGTGGGGGTGGGTCCTGGCCGCTGTGCCGGCTCCCCTCCCAGGCGCGGCCGGGCGCTCAGATCACCTCCCACTCGTCCTCCAGGTCCTCCGGGTGCGGCGCGGCTGCCGGGCCGCCCTTGTGCGCGCCGTGCGCGTGGCGGAAGGTCTTGGTGAGCCTCTGGAGGAGGTAGCCGGGCGGGCCCACGGCCCAGAGCTCATCCGAGGAGGTCACTGCAGGACAAGAGCCACGCAAAGCCCCATTAACCACGCAGCCCGGGGCGAGGGGGGCGGGGGGCGGCCCAGGGCAGACCGGGCCCTGCTGCCATGCGGCTGCTGCGGCCTGGACCAAGCCACGCTCCCTGCGCACGCTGCGCTCGGCGTGTGAGATGCGCGGGCGTCCACACATGCGCAGTGCCCTCCTACCCATCTCCCCTGGGAGGGCCCACACATGCGCAGTGTCCTCCCCCATCTCCCCGTGAGTGTCCACAGGGGCTCACGGTGGCCCCCACTGCCCCTCTTGCGTCCCCGTTCACATCACACTGCAGCTGGGGGCACCACACCCCATCCCACTGGGGGCTCGGGCACAGCCTGGTGTCTTGTCTTTCTCAGGCTCTGGGGACCCTTGGTGCCCTCCTCACCCCAGCACCTGCCTGTGACACAGGACACACATCCGGGAATCTTCTTCCAGTAGTCCCCCGCAGGATTTTTGTCTGTGATGCCATAGCGGCGGGCGAGGTCACCGTTTGGACACCGGGCCCACACGGTCCTGGTGCTCAGTGCCAGCTGGCAAGCCTGCAACCCTGTGGGCACAGTGGGTATTCTGCTCAGCCTGAGCTCATGGGAGGCAATGCCCTCTGCCTGCTCCACCAGCACCTCCTGTGGGCAGTCCAAACCATGCTGGTGCGGCCAGGAAAGCCTGAGGCCGAAGGCATGGTGGGCCTGGGCACGGTGGCCCCACAAAGCCCAGAGAGGGCGCTGGGGGACAGCTGTGCCTCCGACCCACGCCCCAGGAGACATCTGAGCATGGGACCCGGAAGTCCAAACTGCCTGCCCTGCTGCAGAGGCACGGGAGGGCAGCGGAGCGCCTGGGCCTCTTCTTACCTGGCACGTGCTCCCAGTCCGTGCCCACCGGCATCTCCTCGGTGATTCCGGTGCGGACGTGCACATTCCATCTGCTGTCAAGTGCCCAGAGCATCTGGTCGTTGGGGCTGCAGTGGACACTGACCAAGGTGACCCCAGCAGGCTAGAAGCAGAAAGGGGCTTTCCTCAGCCTGAGCATACCCTGTTCTTGGCTGCCTGCGCACACTGAGGCCACGGAGACAGTCCTGGTGACTGCAGCTGGCCTTGCCTGTACCCTGGCTGCAGCCCGGCGCAGAGGGATGGGAGTGAGGCGAGCCAGGCAGGGGCTGGACCTGGGTTCCGTGCTGGCCTCCCTGCGCCTCAGGAGGTCACGCTCCTGACTCCCTGCCCACTTTGTTTTGATCAGTCGTGGGGCCTGAACTCTGGGCCTGGGTGCATCTCTTAGCTCTTCAGCTCAAGTTGAGTGCTTTACCACTTGAGCCACAGCTGGAAGTAGCCCTGTGGCTCAAGTGGTAGAGTGAGTGCTAGCCCTGAGCACAAAGAGGCTCAGGGACAGTGGAGGTCTTGACCAGCCAAAAAAAAAAAAAAGGAAGAAAAATTCTCAGCCAAAGGAAATGTGGACCTCAGCAGGTCCCTAGGTGTGGACTTGGGTGGTCCTGGGTGGGCCTGCCAGAACTCAGAGACAAGAGCTTCCGGGCCGAACGCTGCCTGTGCCCGTGAGCGGCCAGCAAACCTCCGGGCTGACCTTTTTCTCCTCCCCTTATTCTAAGCTGGCATGCAGTTAAGACATGACACATCCCAACCGTATTCTCCCTCAAGGACTGGGGCTTCCACTGTCACCTGGACATTGCTCAGGTCGAAGCCCCAGAGGTCACTGAGGTGTGGGTTGATGGGAGCGCGCCAGCGGCTGCACCTTATTTGTTCCTTTTAGTTCTGCTTCGTTCCTTTTCATTTCCCATCAGTTTGAAAGCCGGCACCAACGTCAACGGATCGGCACTGACTGACTGTCAGGGCGTACTGCCCAGGCATCGGCATCTGCCTTGAAATGTGATTTGGAACTCTGCGAGACCCGGCGGGGGATATGCAGCACGGGTTTCCTGGACAGCGTCTTGTCCCTCTGAGCAGGGCTGAGAGAGCCAACTGTGCCCACTGCTCGTGTCCGCCCTCCGGAGCCCGGGCAACTGTGCTGTGGTCAGCGTGCCTCCCAGTCCAGAGCTCTCCATGGCCTGTCACAGGGCCTATGTGGGGACAGATGCCCACTCGGAGGTCCCGTCCACGTGGAGGCTCTGCGCACAGGCAGCTCACTCTGGTGGGCTCCCATGAGTGAGGCCCAGGAGGGAAGCCCCTGGCGAGATCTTGGGGCCCTTCTCCAGGGTCCTGGGCAAGTGCTGCAAAGAACTTCTGAGCCAGCCCTGACCCTTCTTGAGGGCCTTTGTTTTGTTAACCCCCTCCAATACTCGGTTTGAACTTAGTGAGGTTACTGCGGAGCCCCTCCTGGCTTTTGTTCTGGTAGAATGAGATGGAATCCCGGCCTTGTGAATATTCAGCAAGGGCTCCAACACAGAGCCACAACCCAGCCTTGCAGGGCTTTTGCTCTCCTTTGTGTTAAATCTTTTTTTTGTTGTTGTTGTTGGTCATGGGGCCTGAACTCTGGGCCTGGGCACTATCCCTCAGCACTTTAGCTCAAAGATAATGCTCTACCACTTGAACCACAGCCCCACTTCCAGATTTTTCTGCTTATGTGGTGCTGAGGAATTGAACCCAGGACCTCATGCATACAAGGCAAGCACTCTACCACTGAGCCACCTTCCCTGTTCTTGTGTTAAATCTTTTCTTTTTTTTTAATTGTGAAAATTCCACACAGAGGGGTTACAATTACATGGGCAAGGTTGTGTTGATTTTTATAAGCAAGTACTTGATAACATCTTAGGAAAGTGTCTACTAGAAAAAGACTAAAGATAGAAAACAGGCTATTCAGGAACTCAGAGACCATGCAGGGAGAAAACAATAAGAAAAAACAGCTTCAAAAACATCCTTAGGAGCCTGGGGCAAGGCTCAAGCATTAACCCCACTACCACCAAATCCAACAGAAAAACCAAAGGGAAGGGCCAGGCATGGTAGTGGATGCCTGTAATTCCAGCTCCAGAAAGGCAGAGGCAGGATTCTAGCATGGGTACACAGCAAAATCCTGTCTCAGGACGACAAACAAGCAACCCACCACGCATCCTCAAGAAGTAGAGGAGAGGGTACAACCATGAAATGACAGAACTTCCAGAACATAAAAAGGCAGTCAAAGCAATGATCCCACAGAAGAGCTGGGGTGATCAAATCGAGAATGTCTTCCAGGAAGCGAGGTGGCAGCACTGAGGGAAAGTAAGAGAGGCAGAGGGCAGCCTGGGGCAGCCACACTGCAAGAGCAAGTGGAGACATGAGGCTGGGCATGGTGGAAGGGGGACCGGCCGCCTGGACTGAAGAGCAGCGGTGGGGAGAAAACTCAGCTGGCATAGGCCCTTGTCAGGCTGTGCCTCAGTGTTTGCTTACACACTGGGAACAGAGATGTCACAAACAGGAAAGGTCAGGTGTCAGAATGACCCCGGTTTCTTTCTGCCATACTGGAGGAAGAACTTCTGTATTCTATCAGAAACTGATTTTCAACCGAGACTGCTGGACATGGCCCGGGCCACGGTGGGCGCAGACGGCTTTCCAGACAGGCAGAGTGGGCCGTGGATGCTTCGTCGGGCAGAGTGGAGATGACCCCCACTCCCAGCCAGTACAGTCGAAGACCCAGTCCAGAACAGAAGAGCCCACAACGAAGGAGCAGGGGTCTGGGGCAAGAGGGGATCGGGTCAGCCTGGAGCAGCCCACAGGGCCCAGGAGACCTCTGCAAGAGGCAATGGAGAGGTTCTCCAGTGTCTCCAAATGTGTGATGGGCAACTGAGACAGACAGCAGGTGAGGGCCGGGGCTGAGTGTGGAGAAGCGCACCTGGAGACTGGAGGCGCGCGCAGAGGGCTGCTCAGTGAGGGAGGGAGACACACGCAAGAACCTGGCGTGTGGTCTTCCAGGCCTTAGCTGTGAGAGCCTGTCCCTCCTCACGTGGGGCCCTGGGCAGAGGGAGCTCAGGAGGGCACACAGCTGGTGACGAGGGGATGTGAGTGGCCCTTGGCCTCTGGCAGCCGGGCCAATAACAAACACGTGGAGGAACACAGATGAGGAGGGGCTTCTGAAGCAGTGACTTAGAGCCCTACTCAGAGCCCAGACCGGAAGCAGCTCTCCAGGGAGTACAAAATGGGGAAGGGGTGACATCTGTAGAGCTGGTGGACATGCTCACTTACACGTTGTGGTGTAGGGCTCTGATCTGCTGGATTGTTAATGAACTAAACAAAGCCTGAATATGGATTGGCTGCTGGTAGGAAAACCAAGGGCTGGCGAGTTCAAACGACAGTCTCAAGGTTACTATGGGACAAGGAAATATATGTTCACATTTGCTTGGATTGCAAGGAACAGATTACATCAATGGGAACAGAATTGGCTGGCTGGCTCCAGCATCTCCTGCTGAGACTGGTGCTATGGCTTAAGTGGTAGATTGCTAGACCGTAATTTTTCCCCCCAGCCCTGGGCCTTGAACTCAGGGCCTGGGCGCTGTCCCTGAGCTGCTTTTGCTCAAAGCTAGCACTCTACCACTTGAGCCACAGCGCCACTTCCGGCTTTTTCTGTATAGGTGATAGGAACTGAACCCAGGGCTTCATGCAGGCTAGGCAAGCGCTCTACCACTGAGCACCTTCCCAGCCCCGTATTAGGTATTTTTGATCTGGCTTCATTCTATGACAAACCTCACTTTACACATAGCAGTCCTCAACGCTGTAGCTGACTTACAGCGGCGGTACTGGAGGAGCAGTACTATCACTGCCCGGTTTTTCCCGTAGTTCTGCAAGTACTCAAGAGTATCTTGTGGGAATGACTGGCAGAAGGTTGGTTGAAGACAATGAATTTTGTAGACTAACGTTTTCTTGCTAGGACTTTTACTGAGGCTTTTTTTTTTCCTTTTCTTTCTTTTTTTTTTTTGTCATCATGGGGCTTGATCTGGGCCTGAGCGCTGTCCCTGAGCTCTTCAGCTCAAGGCAAGCGCTCTACCACTTGAGCCACAGCACCACTTCGTTTTCTGGTGGTTAATTGGACATAAGGAGTCTTACAGACTTCCCTGCCTGGGCTTGTTTTTTTTTTTTTTGGTCGGCCGTGGGGCTTGAACTCTGGGCCTTGGTGCTGTCCCTCAGCTCTTCAGCTCAACTACAGCGCCACTTCCGGTTTTCTGGTGGTTTGTTGGAGATAGGAGTCTCACGGTCTCTCCTGCCCGGGCTGGCTTTGAACCGCGATCCTCAGATCTCAGCCTCCTGAGTAGCTAGGATTACAGGCGTGAGCCGCCAGCGCCCGGCCCTGGGCTTGTTTTAAACTGTGATCCACAGATTTCAGTCTCTCAGCCTCCTGAGTAGCTAGGATTACACCAATACTAGACTAGGAGCCACCAATACTAGACTCATTTCCAGATTTTTGATGGTTCATTGGAGATAAGATTCTCATGGACTTTTTTTTTTCCTTTTGCTAGTTCTGGGGCTTGAACTCAGAGCCTGGTCACTGTCCCTGAGTTTCTTTTGCCCAAGGCTGGCACTCTACCACTAAGCCACATTCCCAGCCCAACAAGTCCCATTTAAACACTCCCCTGTCTACAGAATCAGGGCCCTTTTAACACCTGCACTTCCCTCACTCCCGTGACCTTCAGCCTTTGTTGTTGTTTTTTGTCCGTTGTGGGGCCTGGGCACTGTCCCTCAGCTCTTCAGCTCAAGGCGAGCACTCTACCACTTGAGCCATAGCGCTACTTTCGGCTTTTTCTGCTTATGTAGTGCTGAGGAATCGAACACAGGGCCTCATACATGCAAGGCAAGCGCTCTACCACTGAGCCACTTTCCCAGCTTCCCCTGAGCTTCTCTTGCTTAAAGTGGTGCTCTATCATTTGAGTCATAGCTTTTTGGAGGTTAACTGGAGATAAGAGTCTCATGGACTTTACTGCCTGGGCTTGCTTTGAACCATGATCCTCAGATCTCAACCTCTAGAGTACCTACATTACAGGTAAAAGCCATCAGAGCCCTCAAATTTGTCTTTATTTTTGC